ATTTTGAACAGATAAATAAACTTAATGAGCCAGTCAAGTTTACAATCATTCATGCTGATGTCTTGTGAAAAGGACCTTCTTCCAAGAATTAATAACGATGCAACCATTGATGTTTTGGCATCGACTAGTCAAACGATGAATAAATTTCTAAAGTAGTTGCTATTGAATAGCAATTGTGTCAATTATTTCTACCATTTCTAGACTTCAACTTACAGCAGTATTTTAGAAATATTTATTTTTATCAATATTAAGGCTCGAAAGTTTAAAATTTCTTTTTTATACTTTAAATAATAATAAACAATAATGCACCTAAAAATAAAAAGGTCTTTCGCTAATAACAATGGAAAATATATATAAATATATATATATATATATATATATATATATATATATATATATATATATATATATATATATATATATATATATATATATATATATATATACATGCAACATACAATGAAGTAAGCCGCCATGACTAAAACTTTCTCGGGCCGTTTTTTCAAGTCAGTCCGACCCTGCACATGAACTACCTTTGCAAATTGGAGTATATTCGGAAGATGCACTAGAGAGTTTGAATAAACAGAAAAAAAATTCTAGACTTAAGCACACGGCAAAAATATCAAGGTTAAGCACTATGATGAACTAGGTGCACTACCTTCTAGTAAAATCAGATTCAAAAGTATCAAGCAGATCTTTTACAAAACATAAGAATTATCGAAGAAAACTACTACCAGATGAAGTTACTAAATTAATTGTAATGTAAATAATAAAATAATTAAAATAAAACACAGTTTTTTTCATTATATATCAACATTCATTAAGTATCATTTTTCTGCAAATATCTAGTAGAATAATTATCAAAATAATGTTTGTCTTAAAAATTCTAAAACTTTAGAACTTTTCTTTGTCGCGCATTATACGCGTCGAAGCTGGGCGTAAAAAAATTTTAAGTAACAATTTATAATAATTTTTGACCAAATAATTATAAATTTAACATGTAACAAGTTTATTTACGATTTATGTCAAATTTTATCGAGTTTTTGCCGTTTTTTGATTGTTCTAAGTCACTGCGTCGTAATATATAAATAGTTTAAAATGATACAAAATATAAGTATATAATAACATATTTTTAAAAAAATTATTTATTTTGATTAAAATAATTTACATCTTTTATATATTTATGAGGTTTTTCATGTATATATATATAAATTTATTACTGTTCTGCTCTTTAAGAAATTTGAGAACTCCTCTTTCTGTAAAATTTGACCTATAAATGTACAAAATATAATTTGATGATGTTTTGACCCTCGCTCAACCCAAATAACTGTTATCCTGTTAACCACCAATGAGCAGGACAATTAATACCTAGTTTACGATTTTAGAAGTTCTTAAACAGGTTTACAAATATGCTTTAATAACAATTTTTGATGCATCAATTGATGTTTAAGAAATATAGAAGATATTATTATATTTAAACATTTGATTTTTATAAAATATACAAAAAAATTTGTAAAAATACTTATATGTATAAACTCATATACATATCTATCTCTCTCTCTCTTTCTATCTCTCTCTCTCTCTCTCTCTCTCTCTCTCTCTCTCTCTCTCTCTCTCTATACACACACAGGGTCTATATTTGCCGACTGGTCTCAAATGGTCAAATATTACGACTTCATGAACGAAAAATTTGTTGAAGGGGAGGGGGTTGTCAAGGTCAGGATTAGGGTTAGGGTTCTTCGCGCTAGCCTTGTATATATACTGCAATACGAAAGTTTTTTAAAACACAAAATGAGGAAATATTTTCCTGCTGATAGTACAAAATTTCTGAAATATCTTTTTCAACCTTTTGACATAGCACAGGACGATGCTATTTATATTTTACAACAAGGCAGGTGTAGGACCAAAAAAATAATTTTTTTTTTTGGTTTGCATTTGTTAATCGTTGTACGGCTCATAATAAAAACAATAATATAAACTTACAATGATATAAAACATAACAAACATAAACAAGGTATCTGAAAGAAGATCGCAAGGATCTTGTAATCAGAACCTTTAAAAAACATTTAACAAATATAAGATAGAAAAAAAAAGAAAACAATAAACTTTTACAAAATTGCAATGCAAACAATCTGTGTCTGAACCAACATATAAATTAAAAAGTAAAAAGTATAAGAACAATAAATAAAATAAGTAGGAATAAACTTCTATAAACATAAAACTTCTATAAACAAAAAAACAAAAAAATAGACCAAAATATGTTTTTAACTTTTATTACTAATAATAACTCAAAATATTATCTAATGAAAAAATGAGGTTTTTCAGTTTTTTTATAAAAAGGCAAAAAGTAATAGGTACTTCAAAATTAAAATTCGCCAAAACAATTTTATTCCAAAGGTGTGGCGCTCGATAGGTAATAACCAATAATAAAATAATCAAGGAAGATGTTCAATATTTAGGAGATAAAATATCGTGCCGAAAAATAGAGTAAGATGGTATTGATAACTCAAATGTTTTAAAACTTATGAGGAAAGTATTCTATAATGAAAAAGAAATTGAGCGTTCTGTGAGTGTAAAGCAAAGGCAACTAGAATCTTTAACTAAGATAAACAAAACATTGAAAAACCCGATAAATTTGCCTTTTTTAATCAAAGTGATTTTGGATAGATTTGATGCTTTTACTGATGTAGTGTAAAAAGAACACCAATTCGTACAAAAATTACTTATTTTAAATCTACCTAAAAATCCAATTAAAAGTAAAATAATATCAATTATGGAAAAATTTATCAACTAGTTAGCAAACAGCATTTATGGAAGTGCTTCTTAAAGAAAATAGAGTTCCACAGAAAAAAGAAAATCTTTCAATTAAAACCGCATGAAAAGAAGGTCAGGAATTAAGATAATTATCTGCAGAAGGTCAGGAATTAAGATAATAATCTGCAGAAAAAATTAAGATTAAATTTAAAATATTAAAATAATCAATTGTGTGACGGCAAACTGGTTTCAGAACTCAAAAGGGAAAACAAGAAATGATGAAACAACATCAAATATATAAAAGGCAACTGAGTTTTGTTTAAAAAGAATTGTTTGTTAAAATATTAGGTCCTAATAACACTATTTTTATTCAAGGCTTATCTTTATTCAAGACACTATATTAATTCAAGACGGAACCAGGTCACACAGAACCTGGATTTAAGACCTAAGTCATAAGTTCGCAAACCCACACAAAATAATCACTAAAGTCACTATAGAGAATACTTTCTAAAAAAAATATAAAGAACTTGCTTCCTTGTTTGGAATATTGAGAATGTGTTAAATTGATGTTAATAATTCTTTTTATAAACGTGAGCGAAAAACACGTTGGGTAAAACCAGGAACAGCTCATGATGTTTGGTGAATGACGTCAATTTTGTATCCGGCAAAGATGTTGGTTTTAAGTTCTCAAGTATGATATGACATGATCACAAAACTGGGAACAATATGCAAATTTAATACTTTTTTACGTTAAAATCATTTATTGGTGGCCTATGCAGCTTATAATGATCTCAAACTACGCCATCCCTTTTGCTTGCAATTTTGATACAAGTTGTTGAAAACATGATTCACAAGTTGCAAATGCAAATTGAAAGCAATGGAAAAATACTTTTAGTATTTATCTGAAGGATGTACAGTGTTTTCTCAGGGTTAACAAATAGAATTTTCTCTTCAGAACGGCAAATAATTGCTCAAGCATTGCTTTTAATTCCTCGATCATTAGAGTTTGAAAGGTTCCAAGGTTTTACCAAATTTTCCGGTCTGTAAAATTCAAAATTTAGAAATTTTCAAATAATGAAGAACAAAACCAGTTTTTATTGCAAGTTACTGAATTTCATTGCAAAAAGTTTCCAAACTTTCAAAAGGAAATCTTAAATAAATTGACTTACATGTAATATACAATGTTGTAAATTAAATTTACTGTTGTATTGTAGTGTAATTTTACAGTTACAATATAGCCTTAACTATATTATTACTTTTATAATTTACTTAATCTTCTCATCTTAATAAACCGTAATGCATTACAAACATTTTTTTATGATTTTAGTGTAAATAAATAAAGATTCCTTCAGTTAATCAGTTATTTGGGTCAAAACATTATCAAATGATCAAAAACTTTGCACATATTTATATTTTGCAAAAGGGGTCACTTAAAAACTGAAATATTTATATATCAATCTAAAAACTTCGCCTGCCTATAATAACATTTCCTAAAAATGTATACTATGTTTACAAAAAAATTTGAAATTATAACTCATTTGGATCAAGAAAATTTACTTAACAAAAAATCTGAATTAATTTCTAAATGCAGATATGAAAATAGGTACCTTTTATAATATTATAAAAACAAATGACCAGACCAGATATTTTAAACATCAGACCAGATACTTTAAACATCAGACCAGATATTTTAAACATTAGACCAGATATTTATAATAATTCTAAAGAATTCTTTTCATTATTAATTTTTTAATTTTGATGTAGTTGATGCAACTTCCTGGTTGCAAAATAACTACATTTATTTAACTACATTTATTTAACAAAATAACTACATTTATATAACTAATTATACCCTAATATTATCAAAAAAATTATTTTTAAAGTTTTTGTAAACTTTTTCTTCTTTTGAGACCCAATCAAACACACATGGACATGTCTGATACTTATAGGTTTTTCTTGTAAACTTTTTCTACTTTTGAGACCCAACCAAACATGGACATGTCTGATCTTTTTTTGATGTTTTTTTTGCGCAACTTTTAAAAAAGCTTCAAATTTTTCAAATGCTTCAAATTTTTGATTTAATAGTTGAATAAGAATTGGAGGTTTAAACTTTTTAAAAGAAAATTTTTTTTAGAGCACCCTATTATGTTATTTTTTGACCACCCTAAAAATGTTTTGGACCATCCTAAAAAGGTTTTTGTACTACCCTAAAATATAATTAAAAAAAATACAAGCATCAATCTCACCATCGTTTACACCACGTGTTCCCATAAAATGAGCTATTTCTTCATCTTCATGGAATGAAACATCTCGAGGAAACATTTTCCTGTCAACCATTTCTTCAGCATTTACTAACATAAGGTCAATTTCAGCATCTTCTTCAGTTTCTCTTTTACTAATATGTTTAATTTTATCAATTAAAGTTGTCTCATCGGCATTTTTGTTTTGATTGACCGATTTTTTTACTTCTTCTAATTTTATGGAGAATGCATTAGCTGTATCATCTAGTAAAGAGTTTAATTCTGAGTCAAAATGGGCACCTTCTCTTCCAGGAATTCCTTCATTATCTAAAGAAAACCAATCTTGTTTCATTTTTTCTTCTTCGTCTGTTAAATGAGCGGCATGATAATCGGAGATAGCATCCTCTCCTGTTAACCATTTTTTTTTTGCTTCCTCCTCCCTACCAGTTAAATGAACACCTTCCTTGTCCGGTATCATACCCTCTTCCATTGAAAGCCATGAACGCATCATTTCCATTTGCTCATCTGTTAATTCCTCTCCTTCGTCACCCGGTATATTGGTACTTCCAATATTCTGCCAGGCTTTTTTAAGTTCGTCATTATTAACAAAGTAAGCGCTTTCTGTATTGGGAATATCGTTACCATCAGAGGTAGATATCCATGAACGTTTCAAAGCTTCTTCTTCATCTGTCAAATGTTGTTTTTCACTATATTCAGTATCTTCTGTATCACGTTTCTTTATGTCTCCTACCAAACTTACTTTTTTTCGCGATTCTGCTTCAGTTGAAGTACCTTTATTTTTGTTTTTGACCTTTTGCTTTATTCTCTTATTTTTGATTTGCTTATTCTTTTTCTTTTCTTTTTTTTTTCCTAATTTGTTTATTTCTGTTTGGTTAGTTGCTGGAGGTTTACCTTTGTGTGGAATAATAGGGAACGGAATTGCAAAAGGCATAGGTAGACCACTTTGATTACCACTCATTGGTCCTTTTCGACCTCCATTGTGAACTTTATCACTTGAAACTGACTTCACATTTTCTTTTGAGTTCACTAAACAACAAACAACAAAGTTTTTAAATAGTAATATTTAACTATTATAAAGATATTTATATTAATGTATGATATCTTTAAACAAGTTAAAATAAGTACGTTATGTTTAATGTAATAGTTTACTAAATAATATTAATATTTTCTAAATACAAAAGAAATTGGTTTTACAACTTAGTTTTCTCAACGCAAGATGCGTTGACACGTGAGCAATATTAAATCATTGTTTTAAAGTAAATGATAATTAGAATAATTTTTAATCAATAATATTCATTTTTAAATAGTTTCAAAAAAAATCATGAATTTTCTAAATAATCTAACAGTTCTTATGTAATAAAACACTTTTTAAGCAATATAGTATTTTTAAAATGTTAAAATAAAAACTAAATCTCTTAAGAAAAATATGAGAATATTTTTTATTCTTTAAATTATGTAAAAGTTATTTTTTTATAACATTTTTAACATAATTTGTCAAGTCAGGTTATCCTGCTACTGGTAACATGTAACCCAGTACAACCTGTTTCATGTTCTGCCGCCTTGTAGAACGCGCTTTTCAAGGCAAAGGCTACGAGAGGCCAACTCCGACTTAAAACACCCTCGTGTCTTTAAGCCCTTGCTTAAGTAAAGGCTGGAGATGGCTTTTCGATAAAAATACTCATCTTGGGCAGATGTTAAATGCATCTGGCTACTGTTTTGTAGAAGACTTCCTAGGCAAAGACATAAGGGGTAAACAGATTTTATCTGTTGACCGTCCCCCCTCTCCCTATCTTCATCTATTAAGCTGGCATAGATTTATTTATAATATATTGTTTCCAGTTTAGAATGATAAATGCTGGATCTTCTTAACTCAATGCACGGCTTCTGCTTATGTCTCGGTGTTTATGACAAGATAACTCATTTAATTATCTTCTAATGAGGTTATAGCTCTAAAACTCAGTTTTATGGTTCTGAGGCCAGCTGGTAGTCAAGTTTTCCGAACTGTGTGATAGTTCTCAGAGAGGCTGATTTCATCAACAGCTGTCAAGTATCAGAATACCAAAAGTGACATGTTGCGCATGGATGGTGTCGCTGTTTGTACTTTTTGGGTTTATTAATAGTTATGAAGCAATTGCTTAGACTATTAGATATTGCGCTGTAGTATTTTAATTTCTACAACTTGATCACCACGTCCAGAGCAATTTAAAAAACCAGAAGTTAATAATAATCTGGAACTTAGGGGCTTTTTTAAACCCTTTCCCCCCCCCCCCCCCCCGAAAAAGTCTATTGAGCTTGTTACAGTTGATGTGGTTAAGGCGCCTGATTTTTTGAAGTTTTTCCAAATGATTACCTTCATGCCTATCTAAATAATAAATTTTTTTTGACTAAAGAAGATTTAAAAATGAAAAATCAAAAAAAGAAAAAGAAAAGAAAACTTTAAATAAAACAGCTAGTAAGCCAGTATTTGAATTCATTTGGTATTAAGTAATCAATAGTAATCAAAAATAAAGTTGATTTTTCCTGAACTTCATTCACACTTAATTGTACGCAAATATTTGATGAGCAATAAAGTTTAGGTTTTTTAAAAAACGCTAAGAAGCCCACTTAAAATTCTAAACCATTATCATACTATATCCCAAACATATTCCATTTACTATACTAAAATCAACAAAAGTTTTAATTGCTCTAAAATTAGTGTGAAAACTAGATTGGGAAAATCTTTGATTACTGTAATAATGGGATCTAAAACCTCAAAATAAATTGCACGATAATGTTCCTTAGAATATGAAAGGTGATGCACTTCAAAGGTGATGCACTTTTATCTATATTGCAACTCTAAAGGTTTGTTGATTGGCTTTTTTCTTTACCTTAAAATATGATTTTTGAAAGATATTTAAAAAAAATAATAAAGTGTTGCCTTATATAAAACAATCAAATTATAAAAAAAAGCATTTTCTAGTTTTCAATTTCATTGTTTTATATAAAGCGTCTCTTAGATTTGATTGCATTTTTTTGAAGTCTTTTAAGTGTTCTTTTAAATTAATGATCAGTTGAACCACTTCACAGTGAGCCAGTTATAGACAAAAATTTATATGATCCAATCTGTTTAAAAATGAAAATAAACAATGTTCTATATATTTATCTAATTAAAGTTCTAGAGTTATTATAAATGTTAATCATCTTCCGGAACATCTTTATAATTCAGTCAAAAGTTAACAATTTTTTTTATAATTTTGTTTACATTGTTATACACTTTTATTTAATTATTTTTGCAGTACAACAGTATTGATTGCTATTTTATTACAATTTAACATTTAAAAGGTCAAAAAATAGCCACAGTTATGGATGCTAATGTCATTTTAAGGTGTAATAAATAAATATTAGAATAGGTATAAAACAAAAGTTTAATTTTATTACTTAAATGTGCCAAACTAAATGCATCTTTTTTGGGGCGGGTTAGGACAGCAAATAAATGGTCATAAACTGTTCTTTAACATGTATGGAAGCCAACACACTTGGTTTTATGGACGTAGACAGACGTATTTGAGCTACAAATTGAGTACAATTCGGTTGCTATGGTACCAAATTTTACATAGCAACAACTTATTTTTACATTAACGTTATTTTAACAGTATTTTAATCGTGCTATGTACACTATATTAAATACATGTATTAAAATGAGATTTGCGTTTCTTATGGAAGTCATAATTTTATTTGGTTGTTATGGATACCCAATTTTTTTTAATTATTTGTGCATAACAACAGTATTGATTGCCATTTCATTACATTTTAACATTTAAAAGGAAATTCTTAGCCACATTTATGGATGCTAATGTCATTTTAAGCTGGAATTAATGATTAATAGAAAAGTTATAACATAAAAGTTTTTTTTCATTGTGCCATTGTTCATTTAAATGTGCCAAATTTAAAGTATTGTTGCTAAAATTTTAAAGCTGTATTATAGCTCTGCTGAATAATGCAGATGCATTTCAAAAGTACTTCTTTGAGGTAAGTTTATTTTTGATTATTATTATTTCTATACTGAGCTGTGGCTAACTTAGCTTTTGTAATTACATGATTGATTGCCTCTTTTAGGTGGCTCATTTGATTATACAGAGCTACTATGGTATTATATACCACAAAGTTTGCACAAGTTATTATTACACGGACATGAGGCTTTGAGGAGAATGGTCTTGCATATTGGCATGCTCTCTGAAGAGGCACAGGAAGCACGACATAAAGATTTCATATGTTTCCGTGAAAATTACACACGCAAATGCAGCCATTTGAAAACTAACTATGATTTATTATGCCAACTTTTGTGCTCATCAGAATTAACAATCATCAGCATGAGAAAGTTAAAATTTCTCAAAATTTCTTTCTAAAAATATATTCTCAAAATTTAAAATCTCAACTTTCAAAAAGAATTAGTGATTTGATTTAGGCTCCGATTGTAATTATTAGCACTCATGAAAAAACTGCAACTATCAAAATAGGCTGTTGCTATGTAAATTAGGTATCCATAAAACTAGGTAACCATAGTAACCAAATGATAAATATCCCCCTAATAAGAACCTTATATTAATGCAAACCTCATAATAATCCACAAAATAATTTTAAAGTATATAACCCACATAAAACATCTGCTACTACCAAAAATAGATTGTTGCTAAGCAAATTAGGTATCCTTAGCAAGCAAATATAAAGTTATAACTTTTATAAGAAAAAATAAAACTTTTATAAGCGCAGACCTCTTATTAGTACTCATGCCAAATTCATTAAATAAAGACCAAACATTTATTTAGTTAGTAACTTTGACCATTAAAAGTGAATTCTGGCCCACTATACACTTTTTGGTTTTTAATTGCTGAAGTATTTTCTACCTGGATTTTATTTGATAAGATATTTGTAATTTTAAAAAAATCAAACACCTGCTGGTTTTTTTTTCAATATTTTTGTCTTCGTAAACAACATATCAACTGTTTGGTTGTTTTGATATGTTGTTTACGAAGACAAAAATATTGAGACATATTTTGTTTTCAAAAAAATATTACTAAAAAACTTACAAAGTAAATCTTTTTTCTTTTCATTTTAGTTTTGGAAAATATCTATTATTTCGCAATAGATTCAACAAAATAAGTTGCAAGAGCGCCTAATTACTTATTACGACACGACATTAATTTAAATGAAATACACAGTTTAGAAAAACAGCGAGTAATAAGTTCGGATGCATTTTTACTACTATTTGTAGTTTTTTGTTTTAAAAAAGATGTTAACCTGCAAAATAGTGGGTGCAATTGAGTGAAGGTGGTACACCCTCCTGTCTCACTCTCTACCGATGTTGGTGGCAACGTAAATAAATACTTTGAATTATTTTAAACGTTTTTATATAACAATTATTTCAAGTTATTACTCTCAAATTTGCAAATATCAGTTTAATTTGCGAGTATCAGTTTAATTTGCGAGTATCAGTTTAATTTGCGAGTATCAGTTTAATTTGCAAGTATCAGTTTAATTTGCGAGTATCAGTTTAATTTGCGAGTATCAGTTTAATTTGCAAGTATCAGTTTAATTTGCGAGTATCAGTTTAATTTGCGAGTAGTATCAGTTTAATTTTAAAAAACTACAAAATGATATGTGCTTTAAAATTGATAAAATTTTAAACTGAATAAATAGTTTTTACCGCTTTAAATAATTTTTACACCAAGGAGTTATTTTGGTTTAAAACTTATGTTTGAAAATTAGCACAAGTAAAACCTTTACTTTTAAAGTTTTTTTTATAAGAAATAATTTTATTAGTAACTAATTTTTATTAATAGAGATAATTTCATCATTATTATAAAAGATATCTTTAATAGTATTAAAAGATTACTTTAGTTATAAAATATCATAAGTGACAAAGTCACACAGTCATATCTTAAGTAACATAGTCACACAATCATATCACAAGTGACACAGTCATACAGTCATATAACAAGTGACATAACATATCAGTGACACAATAGTTTTAAATTTAAACTCTAACTGTTTGATGTGTTTCTTCTTTAAAAACAAATATTTGTCCTACCCATTATTATTCCCCTTCCCCTGTACCACCACAAATATCCCGATTTCCCTGTGCCACCAAAAATTGACTCAATGTGTGTCAAAAACATAAACAGCATTAAACGTTTACCTTCCGCAGTTGAATTGTTTCCTAACTCTTCAACATTTATTCCATGCAGCGGGTGCAAGAAAACAAAAACAAGTACCAAACCAAATAAATGTACTAACTTGAGAGTCATCTAATGCGGCCTATAAAAACCAAAAGTTAACAATTAATTATATTCCAATGACGCCGAGTGATAACTATAAAATTTAAGAAATGTAATTGCTTAACAATTTCTTGAACAAATAAACTACACCTTTTATAAAAACGGGAACAAACTCCCTATATTTGCCAGTATTTAACATAAAAATATCTCATAGAATGAAAATGATGGTAAGTTCCATAATTTCCGCTTCGAAATTACTTATTTTAAATTTTTCTACCTTTGAGCATAACTTTGTGGCGTTAAACTGCTAGCCTACCAGAATTTGCGTAGAATTGTTTGCAAACTACTCAAGCGTGAGCGTTGGCATCCAACTGGTGTGTTGCTAAGTTAGTGGCAGGCGTTGTTAAGAAAAAATGTTGTTTTATTTTTTAACTTTTGGTGGTTAGTTTTAATTCTTAACTTAATTTAAAAAATGGTAAAAGTGTGTTACTTAGGGGAAAGAATTGAGAATGAAAATAAACATCAATTAGGAACGCTTTAATACAAATTATTTTATTATTGTTTTTACCGGTTGCTTTGTTTAAAAATTGTTGGTTACACGCGTTATTTTCAAACAAAAAAACAAAACAGCTGTTGCAAAGTTTCGAGCAGCGAAGCGCGGTCTAAACACAAGTAAATAACAAATTAAAAAGTAATGAAAACGTTTCAGACATTTTGAAATAAAATTTTAAATATCTTACAAACTAAACAATGACACGCGTTGCAGATAAAATAATTTTTTTGCATTTATGATTTTTACTAAAAGGTGTAAATAATTTTGAGCGGAAAAGAATTAAAATAAAGGACCGGGCTTATTTCTAAGTGTATACCCACCACCACAAACACCAGTGGTCCTTGTGCGTATAAAGTACTAATAATTTTAATAACAAAATAACAACAATCAAAACGATGACAATTATAACAATAGTAAAAAAAAATACAATTATACTAATGTATAATTATACTAATAATGATAGTAATAAAAATAATAATAATAATAGAAATAATAGCAATAATAACAATAACAATAATAACAATAATAATAATTGCAATAATAATAAAAGTAATAATAAATATGCTATGAAAAATAACAACAATTGATTACAGCTAATATGATCTACATTAATTACACGGTGGAATATTTTGCTTTTTGAAGCGAAAGCCAGAAACTTTCCGACTTAAATCATTCTCAAAAGATCTCTAATGAAGTTTGTTTATATTATTTATACGGTATACGGTTTACGGTAAAATTGGTTATGAGAAACAAATTGAATTAATTCTATTATCAAAAACCATTTTTGAATTTGAAAAATTATAATGACTTATTTAAAAAATAAAAATATTTACTCTTTAAATTATTAAAATTTTGGCACCGTTTTTCCTTTTCTTTGTGCTGAGTATTTTTTATCAAAATGCTCAGCACAAAGAAAAGGAAAAACGGTGACCTAAAAACTCAACCTAACTTTAAGATTTTCGGAAGCTTTTACTTTAGAAAGAGTGAATTTTGTAGGATCAGTAGTAGGATCTTTTGAAGAAGTGAAATTATTTCCTAAAGTTATACCAAATTTCTTCTATAAAATTGAATGGGAAAACATTCAAAACAACTTCAAAAGATGTATTGATGATGTATATATATATATATATATATATATATATATATATATATATATATATATATATATATATATATATATATATATATATATATATATATATATATATATATATATATATATATATATATGTAAATGTCTAATATATAAGCAGCCGTGGCGCGCTTGCCTCAGAAACGTAAGATTTGGACGTCTTTGGAACGTCTTTTGAACGTTTTGGACGTATTTTGAACGTTCAAAAGATGTCTTTTTTTGGTCCAGTGCCCACTGGGTTAGTATTAGTATCTTTTTTATCCTAGTATCTTTTTCTAATTTATTAATTTTTGTCTTTACTTGGTAATGCTCAGAGGTGGAAAAAGTAAAAAAATTTTGTACTCAAGTAAAAGTACTGTTACTTGACACGTATAGACACGTCTTTGTCACGTGAACCAAAAACACATGTATTTCCCTCGCAGTTTTACTCAAGTTTAACACGTGTTTTTTGAGGCTTTAAAGTCAAATTTATATGTCTCGTGCTTTTATTACTTATATTTTACTAAACTTCTGTACTGAACTAACATTTTGTACGGAAATTTAGTATAATAAAATACAACGTTTCCGTAATGGTGAAATCATTAATATTTAACTGATGTTTTTGGTGCACAGTAATAGCTAGTAGGGTAGAGTGAAAAAATTTTTTGTTGAATATCTTGGTTGGATAGCTATAAAAATTTGCTGACATATGCAATTAGTAATGTGGCAAACAATCAAACAATTTAAAACATATCTTGAGGTTCCACAATTGACCTGAATTATAGGCATATTTCAAATAAAAAACAATATTTTTTGAAATTTCAAGTTTATATATGACAACATATTTGTGTAGCAGTATACATTTTTAACAGTCTATACGAAAGTTACAAGTAAATAGAACTAAATATTTGAAAAGAAAAACACATGAAAACTCTAGTCAAACGTGTTTTTATAGTTACAAATGATGTTGTGCTTTAGTGTCCAGTTTCGGCATTTTTGATTCCAAACGTGCTCTTATGAATCCGTCGCGTTTTTCTGGACCGCAAACCGCTTGGGAAGCTTCTGTAACTAGCCTAATATGCCTCTCCACCGACTGAGTGTGACAAGGATAGCGTGCGAAATCCAGTCTTGGTGTATCTTCTTCCCGGATCATGGTTAAAAAAGTATCGTCATCAATGTCCATTACGATTGGAGGTTCTGTGATTGGAGTTTTTTGCCAATCGATTATGTCTATGTAACTGGTAGCTTCAAAATTGATTACTGGCACACAGAAAGATCTAACTGAACTCGTGCGCTTCTGCTTCCTGGATTTCATTATACGTCTCAGAGCCAACTCGCGTATTTCTGATTTTTCGTCGGTAAGCATCGCAAGCAACAGGTTTTCTGGATGAGTAAAAAATGCGTTGCGTTGAATTACTGGATCAACAACTTTCTTCAGCTCGTCTGTGAGGTAGCGTGATTTCAGTATTGTATTATGGACATGTCGAGCGCCATCTTTACATGAAGAAGTATTTTTTATTTCAAACCATGCTGGTGCATAAACTGTTACGATGAAGGTAACCATTGTCTTCAGTTCATCCGATGGGCATCTTGTGGCTATATACAGGCTTAGTATTCGATTAGCCGTTGTTAACCATCTTGAATGATTGATAACACCAGGATTGCGAAGTGAAAGGCCTACAGGACAAACGCCAACACTGACAGCGGTGCACAAGTCAAACAGATATTTTTGATCTGTACTTAAATCGTCAGAATTTAAACCTGTCGGTAGAACACAGTTTATGGGTGTGTATTTGACAACGGGAAGCTTCTCACATGCCACCAATGATTTTCCGATTGGACCAGAAAATCCTTTTGGACCATTGGTAGGTCCATCTAGATGTTCGAACAAATGCCTTAACGGTAATTCGTTAGCATGTAGCTAACATACGAACCATTGCAGCGGTTTGTTCAACGCCACTTCAAGTAATCGAATGATACCTCCTCGATTGCCTGTATTAGCAACGGTTCCGTCACAACCTACAGCTTTTATACCACCCAGGTCAACATTCTTTTTACTCAAATATGCAATCAACTCAGCCGCAATAACTTTGCTTGACCCTGCAATTGGTGTAATGTGGCCAAAATAGATGGATCCTGGTTCGGATATAATGGATATATGTTCTTCAGTTGTTAGTTTTTGATGAAATTTCCCATCACATTCTTTAATAAGGGTTATTGTACTGTCTTTTCTTCCATCAAAATATAGCCCAGTGATTGTGTTACTGACATTGGCACATAATGTTCCACGTTTTTTACAACGCTCTCGTCGCACTTTACTTCTGTCAATCATTTTAGAAACATCCCTTTTGTGGATTATTCCAACATCTTGTAGAACAGCACTGGCGATTCCTGCTGCGGCCCTGTCGGATACACCATGTCAATCACATGCTAACGCCAGAGATGGTAACTTAACTCTCATCTGCTTGTCACTCAACTTTCTAAATTGTTCATTAGGATCCGGCATACAATCGTCATCAGATTCGTCATCGCTAGCATCAGTTTTCTCTTCCGTAGAAGAAAACTCCTCACAAACATCTGACTGTTTCTCTCTGATGTCATCAATGTCAGATTTGCTGCACATCTGCCTCTGCATCAACTCTTTACGAATATATCGTTTTTGCAATTTAATGGATTCGGCCTCATCAACTTTAGCAATGATCATACCTCGTGGACCCCGCTGATCTTCTAGAAAATCACGTTCAATTGCGGGTATCTTTCTTGACTTTTCACACTGACACTGAGATATGAAAGAACACTTGCAAGAGCAAATGTCAAAGAGTTTTTTGGATTCATTTTTAAACTGAGATATTTTCTCTCGGTATGGTCCGGAGTCTTTTCTAGACTTATATGGCTTCAGCAAATTCATGAACGTCTTGTGGTACTTGTTCAACATTTCTCGGACACGGCGGTGGCTTACATGTGGTATAGAAGCTTTGTCCCATATTTGTTCCACTTTTGTTGTCACTATTTCTGCCACATTGTGATTTGGTGGATCTTTATAGTTCAATTCATATTTAAGTTTCTGTTTTGTCAGATTGTAAAACTTCATAACATCTGCATAAGTAGGTAGTTGATTGTCAGGCATTTCAGAGGGAGCATCAAAAATGACACAAGATACTTTTTTCCTGGTTACAGCCACTAAATATGAATTGTTATTATAAATGAATTAAAGTATTATCTTATATGAATAAAATGTTTTGCAACAAACGCTGTTTGTTTACTCTAGACAGGAAAAACGCACGTAAATACGTATAAAAGTGAACTACAATAAAAAAATACCAGATAGTAAATGCTTATAAATGGTTAAATTTTGAAGTTGGTTGTGGAACCTCAAGACGTTACCTAAATTAATTTTTTTTTTACGGAGTAATTGATTGTATCACAGAGCAAGTTTTAATAACTATCCAAAGTCAAGCAAATCAAAAAAAAAATTTTTTCACGTTTTCACTTCACCCTAATAGCTAGTTTCACGAAAAGGTTAAACTCCTGGGACGTGCTATTCTTTTTGTTTTATAAGGTTTTGAACACGCAACAGAAACCAAGCGTATCTTTTTTCTGAGTTGTACCGGCTGGGATGAGCATACCAAAAGATTTCTAAGATATGAGTAATAAAGTTAAAATTGCTTTGTAATTTTTGATAGAAACTGCTTTCTATTTCTATAATTAGCGTAAATTTATACGGAGTATTTAGTGGCTCTCAT